CTTAACGAAGCCCCATCCGACATTTTTGCAAAGGAAATTATTGTTCAGAATCGTCTCAGCTACCTCCCATTTCCGGCTCCTCCCCGACTTTTGGGACACCCTGTATATGTTGCAATCCTTTAGAAAATAAAGTTTATAAAAATACAATTCTAACACGAGCGAAGGGAAATACGAGAGTGGCAAGAAAGTCAAAGTGGATGTACGTTCCTCGTACTTCGACTTTGATCTACCTGCGCGAGCCACGGTTATATTTTCTTATCCGAGGAGGAGCATCGATTCCGCCCATCGAAGACGATTTATACTTATATCCGCAGTAGGGTCCGGATGATGAAGGGTACTTTGGCACCTGAGAAACATACTACGACGATAACCGTCTCCTTGGCGTCGTCTGGCGTCTTAGCAACCTCGAGGCTTCCCGATACTTATCGATAAGAATCGACTGCTCCGTGGGGTGCAGCTAATCTCCGTTCCTCCGCGACGTCTGGAGCCTCGGCTCTATAGAGGGCATTCTTTTTCCCTCGGACGACTCGAACGGAAGTTAATTGCTGGACTCGTATTATCAGAAAATTGAATAGAAATATCGAGCTAAATTTAGAGCCTTTCGAATCTCCGACGAAGGCTTTCCTGACCGAAATCCAGCGCGGTGATACTAAAAGTATTTCCTAGGTGTCTAAAGTGGAGTCTTGACACGGAACCTGAAGTGTTTCTCGCTTCACGGAGACTTCTCATTGAGATTCCACTGTTCTTTGTGCCGTGCCGAAGAGTTTTCATTCGACTGTGGGCGCATTTCATGTTATTATCCAAAAAAAGAAATTATTGGGTTGTCCGGAACGTTCATGCCTATTTTGAAGAAAAATTCAAAGGCATATTTGAATTTTCATGTATATTTATCGAATTATATATATGTTCCGTTTTGTTCCATAACCTTTCCACCTCTTAAGAAATGTACACATTTTATTTGTTTTCAGCCATTCCGATATATTCAGGCCTGTACCGCCTACTAAAAATCGGCATGGACTTTTCAGACAGCCCAATACTTTTCGATCGATATCTGTGACGTCGGTGACTAAAACCTGGAATTAGCCTGAAGAATCGCGAAACTATCCCGAGGACCGATCATCGATCCCAAAACTATTACTACGATCGAGTTCTGGGGACCTTCTGGAACCACCCTACCTCCACAGAAACTGTCCAGTCGCGTCGATGGCGCCTGGTCAGTTGGATTTCCTCAGCGACGTCTCTCGAGCCGTCGTGGACGTCGGACAATCGAGGGCGATAATGAGGCTGGCTGAAGAAGTATTAATTAAGGATCACCGGGACTGTGGTGCCACTTTATCGGTGAAAGAGGGGCATCGTTAACGTTCCGCTGCGGTTTAACGAATGACTGGGGTCTGGAGAGGCCGGGGGGAGGAGGTATGGAGCAAAGAGAGAGGCGGAAAGGAAGCTAAACCATTATGTTGCGTTAACGTAACGCTGCCTGGAAATGGGTTAAGGACGTTAAGGCCAACCCTCGTCGCTGCCAGGGTAGAGAGTGGGAGCAGACGGAAGAGGCTTTACCTTATGGCGATGCTGTGGCGATGAGAGGACTCCCTGGACCGAGATTCACTCTGAAATTACCTATGATTAGACGCCTGTGCGCCGGGAAAGAATTCGTAGGAGCGTCGTTCCTATGATGCGTTGCCGTCTGGTCCAAGTGGGGCCAGGGGAGTTCACTTGAAAGCGGGGTACGTGGCGATTTCGATCTCGAGAGTATGAATATTGAATGTCCCCAAAAAGCTGTGGTCACCTGGTGCCCCTACTCTTAGAAGGATCGATGACTTCGCTAATGGAAATTAAAAGATGCCGCAGGACGTATTTATAACGATTAGCTTCTCGTCAGGAAGTTCTCGGTCTATCGAATACCGATTACGTTGCGTAACTGTAAAAATAGCCGCGGTTACGTGTACGCAGGTTGCAACGGGTCTGTGTGAAATTATAAAGTGACCTGCCTTTTACTCAAAGTGAAAGTCGTTGCACTGAAACACGGACGAATTTACACCGATCGATTCATTTCGTTGGCTTACACGCTTCATCGAAAACGAGGCTTGAGTACAGACGTTTATAAAATTTGTTATTTAAAGCGTCAACCGATGCACGTGGACGTGTGTGCTTGCGAGGGAGAGAATGCATCCGGAGACGTTTTTTAATAATATTTTACGCTTGCGTAAATTGGAAAGTAACAAATGTAAACAGAAAAATATTTTGGTGAAAGTGCGATGCTACACGATTGCTTGAGCGTACGAATGGTTGATCAGCAGTTTGCTACCGCGAAGGTTACGTACGAAATTAACTGTATCTGGTTTGCGTTTCGAGTGCAGAATTCGCCACACTTAAACGTAAATTGTATTCAGAATTGACCGCAGCTACTTGGCCGCGGATTATTTATCGTCCCAGGCAAATGCAGCATCGGTTTGAAATGAAACGAGACTGACGTCGAGTTTGGACGAAACTGGATCTGTTTGGGACACGCGAAACGTAGTCTAAAGTTAACGTTTAAATACATGTGTTGCGTCGGATCGCTGCGTATTCAGAATTCGAATTTCTCCGTTTCGAAATACCTGGCTACTCGTTGTTAATTGATCGTTTCGTTTTATTATGTCATTAAACGGACGTTGCCGCGCGCGAACGGCATTAATCGAGCTTTAATTGGCAATCGAATTATCGATGCCAAACAGCCTATAACAGGGATACAGGGTCCCCTTTTTCTTCCAGTGCTCCAATTACCGTTTAATTATTCATTATTTCTGCGCACTGCGTCGACGATTTATACTTTGCGTTCGTCACGAACTTTTCGTTTCTCTACGCATACCTGGCATCTCGATATGATTTAATTTGTTATCCGAATGATAACTTGACCTTTAGAAAGAAGATAAAGTATTCCATTCATTGACATTAAAGTTGTCGCTTCAATGTAACAAAATGGCTAGCAAATATTTCTGTTTAAGCCAGAGTCACGGATAATTAAAGATAGAACATTTATTTCTACATCTAATGCATCCTATTACATATTTGTAAAGTTCTGTAATGGGTCAGAATCGACCCAGCCATCTGTTTCTCCAGTTTCGAGCAGAATTCAACACTGTTCCGTCCACAATGCACACGGTGTGATAAAGTATTGAATAAAAAGGCCCGGTGTCGGGAGTAAAGAAGAAGTCACGTAGGTATCGGAGGTTCAATTCCTGTTTCCCCATTCCTAGCTCTCGTTTGATCGTATCGAGCGCGGTATCCTCGTCGTATACATTGATAATAAGATCACAGCCTCTGAGAATATCGGATTCGTAGGATTCCTGCGCGCGCGCGCACGCGACAAGATTCCTTCGACGTTCTCGTTGCGCGCTCGCACGTTATTGGAAACGTCGATGAACATGTTCCGTGCAGTTCACGGTTCACGTATCCGCGGGTAGCCATTTTTATACGAGTCGAAGGCACCGGGAGGACGACGGGATGTGACGGTATTTTTAGACACGGCGAAGTCGTTTTTTTAGCAACGACACGAATTACTTAGACGTTGACTTTTATCGAGGACGAAGAATGCCATTAGTAGGTTATATACGGATGAACGGCTCGAAAAAGAGGCTCGACGATATCGTCTTTTTGTTTAGTTTTGATTCGGAATCCTTTGAAAACAATTCCTACGAATATTACATGGGAAATCGGTTGCGATTTGTGCATTGCTAATCGTACGTATGAAAATTATTTTAATCAAAAAGATTAATATTTCTACACGTGATACGTACCGTAAAGGAAAAGAAAGTACGCAGTTCTAAGAATAAATTTACGTTTCCCGAGCGGTGGTTTAACGGGTCCATTGAATAAACGTTGGGAATAAAAATCGATCCGGCGATTGGAACGATTCAGAAAAGATACACGTAGCGAAATGTCTCGCAGCGGAACGAAACGGCGGGCAGCAGCACCGTTTGGAAGCGAAGTGGAAACGATAATGGTGAAGTAACATTTTAACGAGTTTACTCGCCGTTGCCTGGAAGAATCAGGATAATACGAGCACGCTTACCGAGTTATACGACTCTTTCGCTAAATTTAGTCCCCGGTTGAAGAGCGAGGGGGGAACGGACGACGAGAAAAGGCCGCGTAAAAGCGAGAGTACATTGCCTCCTACCCCTCTGCATATTCTTTCGTGCTTGCGACACGGTTTCACGAATTTAATAAGTTTAGCCGTCGAGAGCGCGGACGAACAAAAAATTTTCCGGGTCGGAGGGGATCTCCGGCCGACATGAAAAACTGTTTCCTCGGCTCTCTTTATCGCCGTAATTACACGGGATCGTTTATTTTATCGTGGCCGCGAATAAACAACGAAATAAGCCGACGAATGTGCTCGCCGTCCCGCTAGAGACGCGTCCGAAGCGTGATGACCCAAATTTTGCAGTGGACAGTTTCTTTACGAATCCAAATACTTGAAAATGCGAAGATTCAAAAGGAACATTGCATCGTATCGCGGGCAAAATTCGCTTTATAGAAAATATGTAGTTTTCACAGGACTCGGAATTCGACACACAAACATTACACACCTTCATGTGATCAAAAAACATATACCATTAACTGTAGAACATATCCTTTTAAGCTGTCCTGCACTCACAACACGACGGATAACCCATAATATACCCGATAATCTAAGTGAACGATAAAAAGAATGATAAAATTCCAATGATAAAAAAAAAACAGTACCGAAATCCTTACCTTTCTTAAAAATGTAAATCTGTATTACAAAATGTAACTCACTGTACTATTCACTGTTTGTTTATATATATACATATGTATAACTGTACACCAAAGTGGTCGCTAATGACCCTGATGTTAATGCGACCTTTATAAATAAATAATTAATAAAAATAAAAAAAAAATAATAATTCGCTTCATTTTTTTTATTCATTTAGAAGCTTCGTACGAGTTACCGAGGCATCTATGCCCTCTGAAGTGTAGAGGAGAGTCGAAGGTCAACTTCGTTTTTTGTAACACGGCGCGGGATATATACCTCGTATCGTGTTTCGTTTCGTGCGAGGCATACATCATTGAACCCTCGTCCTTCGTCGCGAGCCACGAGGATATCTTCATAATTTACTTTCGAGACAGTTATTGCATACGACAGAGGGTCAGTATCGCCGTCGTTGTTACGAACGTGACTGCGCCTTCGTTTTATGCCGTTGTTTACATCCTACACTTGGAGTTTTGTCTCGGTCGCGCAAAACCGACGACGCCGGTCGATTTTCATGAAAATTTCCGTCGCCCATCGAAAAAAATTAGGTTCACGGAAGTGGAACGAGTCGCGGGGCAGGAGAGGAAGGATTATGCTGCCCACGGTGGGCGCATGACCGTGTGCAGCCTCGTATGAATATGCATATACATTTATGCGCCAGGCGCACGGCATTGAGCAAATTCGTGCTCGTTAGTCTCAGCCAGTTGGTGCCGCAGCCGCTGTTGCCACGTAGCTACAATGAAATTGAATCGGACGAGAAAAACGAGATTTCGATGGCGTAGAGTCCGACGGGTCGGACCATGTTCCGAGATCTGAGAACAAATCGGATAGAAGGAGGAAAAAAGAAATGGCCGTGTGAAATGTCCGAGAAAAATTGCAACGGAGCCGAGGAAAAAAAGATTCGCGTTGAGGAGTCCGAGGAAAATTGCACGGAAGAAAAATATGTCGGAAACGTTGCATGGAAAGAAAAGATTCGCGTGACGTGACTGTGAAAAATTGCGCACGGGCTGCTTTGTTTTTTTTTTTTTTTTTTTCTTGAAAAACTTTCGAAAGACATTCCCAACCTATCGGGGTAAAGCTGAGGATAGTTCCTTATCTGTTGTTTACTCCCTGAAACATCGATGGCTCCGTGCACGTGTAAACGCATACAACAGGGGGACTCTGGGAACATCGTCACGATATTCCCCTGTTTCTGCTTTATTTAGACGACTTTGTTGAACTCGCTGAAGGTGACTAGACGGCGTTAAGAAAATGATACGTTTTAATAATAATAAAAATAATTTTTTTTTTTTTTTTTTTTTTTTTTTAAAACTTTGATGCCACGATAGTCAAACATTGACATACTACTTTTACATGCTGTATAACATTCCGCGCATCCACTGGAAATGGCTACTTTAATCAAACCGAATCGTCGAACGTTTCGCGGAGCGGAAACGAGAATTTATTTCCCGTGAAGGGAAAAACGGTTGCGCCGGTTTGTTGCGATACTTGAATTGGAATCGAAACGCGAGCTGCAAAGGCGTGTTATTTTTTAACTGACTGGCGATTCTCTGTGCAAGAGTCTCGACGAATTTGCTTTGTACCTGGGAATCGCTGGAAACTGATATCCTGCCATTGTGCGCGATGATGCAGCTCGAGAGAATCGAAAGAACAGAGCACTTCATAAACCGGATTTTCGACTGATTGTATAGCATTACGCAACCATTTGTAAAACTCGAGTCATCGTTTCAGCGAGTCCCTGGTTGCAAATTATTTACGGTGAAAGAAATTCTCTGACTTCTATTATTAATTTGTTTTGATGTTGGTTTTCATCGGTTCGTTTGAAAAATGTTTGAAAATACCATTCACAGGTGGGACTTCGATGTCTACTTTCACCCCTCGATCGTTTTACAACCCCCGGTCTCATAAAAATGAAAAGGGAACACTTTGTGTACGGTTCCTCGCATTTTACCCCGTCGCACTTTTCGTTCTTGCGCAAAGCTAATTCCCCCATCCAGTCCGTGCAACGCGCGAAGACGAAACTCGACCGCAAATCGCGTTAATTTTACGGAGAGCCGCAAACGACGCTAATCTGCCGACCATTACGCCGACGCACCGTGCAAAAACAACATTTCCGACTCCTCTGTGTGGAGTCTCTATCCCCGGTGTAAAATTCCTCGTCGGATAAAAATCACGAATCAAACCTAACTTGTGATACGCGAGAGAAATCAGAGTTCTATTTAAAAGATTCAATTTTTGTCGAGAGCTATGTTTCATACGCAGTTGGCAGCCGTGGCCAACCGTGCGGTTTTATTGCGTCTTCCGTTCAGGCAGTTGCGAAGCTGACGTAACTGTCCGACGCGGTCGTTCCGAGCCCCAAGGTAAATGTTGAGTTTTCTGAGGTCATTGGGCGGCTCGCCGCAGATAGAGGGATTAGGACAAGCGGTCCACACGGGGCCGTCGTTCCACAGGAGATCGAAACCGCCGATTCTCGTTTCCCTGCCCGAGAATCGACCCTCGATGTCGAGAACGTTGAGCGTGTCGTCGATGAGGTCGAACTTTAGCCGATAATCGTCGCTGTCGGTCCCGGTCAAGGCTGGCGAGGCGTTCACTTCCAGCAACCAGGGTGTGAGACCCTCGTCGAGAAGAATATCGTAGCCATACAACTCGAAAGAATTCCTTCCTTGCATTATCACGGGCTGAACCGCCAGCAGGCTGGCCATTATCACACCTACGATAAAAGAGAAGATTGCCTCGCTCAGGTAGAAGCTAGCAGGTAAACCATCCACCGCGAATACACCCGACTGACCAGCAATCCTCTGGAACAGCGCTTCAACGGCGTCCACCCCGTGACGAGCGGTCAAGTACTCTCTGACCTTGGTCAAGGCCCATTTGCAACCTTTCTTCAGCTCTTCCTTCTTGTTCTCCACGTTCGTCTTCAGCTGTATCGCCATGTTCGTCAAGTGCACCCTGCTGTCGTCTATGTTCTCCAAGTCGAACAGCTCGGCTGATAAACGGGCGAAGCCTTCTCTAGCCAACCACACCTTCGGTGGATGAAACGAGGTCACCAGGGCGTAGATGCGCAGGTCGAATTTCCTTCCTGAAATGTAAATGACGAAAACGTTTACAAACTTTCCCTGCTGGTTTGCTTCTCCGAAGGAACACGGACAATTTCTTCTCCTCGCGAGACCATTGAAGAAAGTGCTTTCGAATCGTTCGAGTATTCTTCCTTTTCGCGACGCCCGACCACAAAGCCTCGCGGATTTCAGCCCCAGGCACGCTTTCGGGGGTATTGAGGCATTCACCCCGACAACACGGCCATTCTTCGGGGCGATAAGCCGTCTGAAAGCGTCGCTGTCGCGGGGAAACACGAACCTGCCAGAAGGTACGGGTTCTCCACGTATTTCTGAACGATGAATGTCTCGCTGTGTGTCTCCAGCAGTGGAAAGCAGAACTCTTTCGTTCTCCACTCGGCCAGGTCCTTCAGCTTCCTGAACAAGAAGATACCTCTGCCCTGTGATCTTCCCGCCGGCTTCACGATCCACGTGGCGCCTAGTCGCAGAAATATACAAAGTTTATTCAAACAGATTAAAAACGAAAACGGCACACGCGAGATTCGAACTTCGTTCGAGATTCGTTCTCGGGATTGGCGGTCTTATCGGTTTACCACTGGGCCCATACGTGCATCTTACGATTAGTGTTCTTATTTCACTTCGTATAAGAAGATCTAGAAGACCGTGCAGAAATGCAAAAATATACAAAATTTCAACAACGATACACGTGTTATGTAAATTAGAAGACTGGTCGAATTTCCTTCCTGAAATTTAGATGACGAAAACGTTTACAAACTTTCAAGACGTTCATCTCAGTTTCAATTATTTTTCTGCATCGGTGAAAGTATTGATTTGCATAAATATCCACGGTCTATTTATCTTATGTTATTGTTACATTAATGTATCGCCAACGTGCTCGTCACCTGCCTGGTTGTTTATGATACTCCTCCGTGAACAGTCTGTAGTCGTTGGGGAGCTCGAAAGTTAAGGGCATGGAATCGCATAGGGACGCCTCGTCGGTCTTCATCGATTTCAGTAGCGACTTTTTGTAGCGCTTCAAGTTCCTGTACAGGTAGTTCTTGCGCGTCAGTTCGTAATGGTTACGGAAGTGGGGTATCCTCTGGTAGGGAGTGAGCTTCAAGTCTGAGGCCTGACGTACGTCGTTCGTCTCGCACCACCAGAGATGCCAGCTGAAGTCGTTAGGGTCGCTTACCTTGGAAAAAAGTAGGGGCTGGGCATTATTCAAATCAAGATTTTATATTTTCTTAATATATTTTTGTGAAAGCATTACGGATGGATCGACGAAAATCCGGCGATTAAATCGAGTACAAACACGGCTATATTTGGATCACTTTTACTTTTTGGTATATTCAACATGTTAAGATCGATAAGAGATAGTGGAATCCAAGGTAGTCTGAATTGGTCCGTGTTTGGGCTCATTTTCAACGGGAAGACCTCACGAATCTAGTCCTAACACTTTCACGAAGAAACGTGCAAATTTAAATTTTGATTACTGGATGATTCACTTATATTTTACTTTTCGAATAACATCGACGTCATTTTTTAATTCCTACACTGGCTTCGACTCGGATATTAATTATCCTCGCCTTTAATAACTACCTAACAAAAAAAAAAACAAAAAAAAAACAGGCTAGTCTCGAAGCGACCATCCCTCTCGAAAAAGCCAATTTTCGTCGGTGAAATTAAGTCTGATTCCCCATCGCGCGTTGCATAAGCATTCTATTCGTAATCTAGGATCAAGGTTCCCGTGGTTGCCAACGCCCGAGGGTAGGAGGAGGAGGGGGGGGGGGGGGGGACAATGCGGATTTTCGCATAATCGCCGTCCACGTTCTTCCACAGCGGGCGAACCTATGCGCTTTTAAACACGGTTTCGTCCGTCGGGCAAGTGCCTTAAAGGGATATCCGAGACCAGTTCCTACCCTCGGCTCGTTAAGGTCGCCGGCATGAATAAGGGACATTCCATTACCTGGACCCATCCTCTCGCCAGCATCACCCTAACCTGCGTCGAGGGAAAGTCACAGCGAAACCTGACGACCTTGTCGTCCGCGTTCTGCTTCTTTTTCGTGTTAGAATTCCTTCTTTCTCGCGGAGGCGGCGACGCGACCGACCACTCCGCTTGCTCGACCATTTCCCGACTGGATGTCGCGCACTTTGACGTTACTTTCGGAGGGGACATGGCTCTCGGGGCCGAACGAAACAATCGAACCCGGCACTGGGATGAAAATATCCCGGGACAAAACTACAGGCGAGTCGGACAAATTGATTTCGTTGCGCAGTGTCCTTCAGGCGAGTGTGCTTACGGACGTTGTCCGCTCGCGAAGTAATACTTGGGTGATTCGTACGTTCTTTGCCTTGGAAAAATTATATTACTACTGTCGCGTAAAATAATATCATTACGTTTACTCTGATATCATTATTCCCGTGTTTTATTTTCTATTTCTTTTCTAGTGTCTTTGAGATAGTTTATGGCGTTTGGCCATATTTTTCCATTGCTCTTTCATTTATTTGTCTAGATGGGGTGCAATCACCGCCCAGGAAAATTAGTGGACGAAACGAATGTTGGTTTAACGGTTCACGAGGCGTGTGATAGAGTTGCCTCGAGGCCAAAGACACCAGTGGAAGAGCACGACGCTTGAAAGAACTGGAAATTACCAACACAATGCGCCTAGACGTCGGCCAGTAGTCCCGATTGGTGCAACTATGCATACGTCGTGTACGTGAAGCAAAGGCGTGCATCCGGTTCATGGCACGTACATTACCGTTAGAACCAGTAGGAGCCGTCATAGAGGACTTAGAGGCCATCTGTCCATTCGTCGAATATGAAAATATTTTATTTTCAATTGTTAGTAGCTGAAATTCAGCCAGAGGATTCAGCTAGAGGAAACTGTCATTTCGTATAGTCGTGGTACTTTTAGTGTCAAATAAACCTTTCTTTTATTTTCTTGAATAATTAATGTAAAGTATTCGTTGCTGTTAAAATATTTATTTCTGTTGATTTTTGTGATAAAGCCGTTTCATAAAGCCGTTTCTCTCTCGCGGCGAATATACTCGGGCAATATTGCACGGGGCGTTGGTAATAGAGGGTGAAGTGGGGATAAAACGGCGTGATACGATGTAAGCTTCTTTTCTGTTCCGGCGTGCGCGCCAGGAGAAACTCTCCGGCTCCCGTGGGCGACTCGACGCGCCAATTGACAGATTAATTTCGAAAGCTTTGTGATTACCGAATGCTGACGCCCTTTCCCACCCGAGAGCATAGGATCGGTTGCGTGGCTAGTTACCACCACGGGACGTTCCTTTGGTCGAATAATTCTTTTCACGATGAAACGTTTCCAAGACTGTTCGAAGCGCTCAATGGAAACGGCTCTATAGCGCAACCTGTAATGAAAGATCCCATTTAGTATACCTCGCTTTTGTGCAGCGTAACGTGTACTTATTTCTGCTTCTATACGCTATTTACTTTTTCGTACTGCATACATATATATATATATATATATATATATATATATATATATCCTTTTCTATACCTTGGTGCAATAGAGATATATTATCGTAATTGTTTAAACTCTTGGACTAATTATTACCGCGTAGATAGTATAAAGAAGAAGTGGTATACGATATTGTTTGGCACCATTTCGACTTGTTTAACTCTGGAAATTCCATGCGAAACAGTATTTGGTACTTTGTTACATTGGTACTTATCAGAACGTGATTCGTTCAATCAGACGTTATTGTCTGTACCTACGATCGCAACAGACTTGTCGCATCGTACACGGTGTACTACACGCTCGTGGTGCCTTGTGTAGGTTCGGTTGGGAATTTACATTCACGGGACCGAAACGGTTAAAAGACACAAGTTATCACGACGGCATTGACACGGTATCAGTGACCGTGGTCATGCATCTTCTGGGGAATCGGACACTCTCTTATCTCGGTTTCTGTTGGCGGCACGAGCCCGCATGACGAAGGAAAGCGAAACGAGAAGCGGAAGAGCCCGACAAGGAGGGAACCGTTAAACGTCAGGCGGAAGCAAGCGGTGGGCGATAACGCCGATATAAATAGCTATTATTTTCAACCCACGTGGGCACTCTATAGCATGGCGTGACGATTGGCTCTGTCACGACTTCTCTCAGTCGACGCGACGCGTCTAGACGCACCGCGGCTCCGCGTCACGTGTCCTCTTTACTATGACGTCGACGTGCTCGATCTCTACCGTTTGCACCCCTTAAATATGCATTTATGCAATGTTATGGTAATATGACGCGATAAATATAACTTATCGGTACGGGAATTTCACGAGTGTTTCGTTAGATATCAGCCTTTTAAAGGTAATTTATTAGAGTATTTATTCAAAATAGATGAAAGTGTAGTTCGAAGTAATTTTGAAATAATTTATAAAGTTCGATCGTTAAAAAATCGAATTAATAGAAATACAGTTTGCTTCTCGTTACTGAATATAGATACACATCTTTTATGTATAACTTTCGGCTTAGAAAATCGTCTCTGTACCTTAAGGGGGTGATATTCATGAAGTTTGGAAGCCACTAAAGTAGAGGGTGCATCGACACGCGTGTGTGTGCACGCGTGCATCACGCATGGATAGCGTTCGGTGACCGGTACGTGACGAGAATGACACGGCGAACCTGTCGGTCGACTATGGCGGTGGTGGCACGCGTGCACGGTACTCACTCGATGACCGAACACGTGACCGCGATCGGTATCAATTATCGCGTGTGCACGCATCCCGATCCAAAACATGCGATATTTATCTCGTTTCAAGCTCCACCAGTAAAAGCAAAATATTTTACCGGACGAATAAGTAGACACCTCTGCGTGAAAGAATCGGGTTACGTAACCCCGCGTCACAATGCCCAAAGACGCGACCAGATTGCGTCGCGGAGTTCCGTTTAATACCCGTCTTTGGCTAGAGATATTCCAGCTTTGTATTCCTCGAAGATTCGCAAATCCGAGCCCCGACGTTAGTCGCGCTCAAAAGCCGGCAAGAAAAGATGGCAGGGAAAATAATGGAGTGTTTGGCCTCTTTTGCTTCTCTTTTTTCCCTTCCATTACGATTCGTGGCGGGATCCATTTTTGCGAAGCCAAGAAGTTCTCTCGCCGCGCTTGTGCGCGTTCGTTTCAATGCTTTGCTCGGCTCGACGACGGATACGTTTACCAGGGATCGGATCGATATCGAGACGTCGACAAGAAATATGGAAATTCGTTGGGCTGGCTAGACGCTGGCAAGAAATAATGTAAATTCGATCTCAGCCCGGCGAATAAAACGGGAGGACCTTGCGTCTGTGCTGCCTGGTTCCCTTAATTTCGCGTGCAAATGTTCCCTCGACAAGAACTGGGAATTGCAATATCGGTGAACCTGCAAATGACAGACGTCGGATTAAATATTTTACTGAAAATTAAGGACCGCAACGTACGTATTATTGTA